GAGATGTTTTATTAAAAATTTGTAGAGATAAAAGAAATGGAATTATTTCCTTGAACCACCTCAAAAAGGAACTGTTGCAAGTGAAATTGAAGAATTTGCTAGTCCAATGAATCAAAAAACAAGTGTTAAAGTTGATGTATGGCATACAGAAGATTATACAGAAGAAGAATTAAAAGAAATTGAAGCATTAAAAGAACAAAAAGTAAAAGAAGAAAATGAAAATAAAGAAAATCAAGTTGAAGAAGAAAAAGTTCAAGAAAAAGAAATAGAAGAAATTGAAGAAGAAGAAGAAAGTGAAGAAGATAAAAAGACTATGTGGCAAATTAAAACTGATTTATATGAAGATGATTTAGAGGATGTAGGAGGATTATTTCCATTTTTTCATAATAAAGTTGAAACAACAGTTTATGGAGATATTTCAACATTTAAAATTGAAATGAATGTTGAAGAACCATTATTAGGAAATAAAGATGTAGATGAAGTTAATGAAATAGAAGATTATCCTCGTAAATATGTCAAAGAAGAAGAAGAATTAATTATTAGTTGTACTGTAGCATCATATGATGTTAGTGCTGAAATGGAAACAACTAAAATCCGATCAATTATTGCAAGACTAATTCCTAGGAATTTGGTTTTTGTTTCAGCGTTAGAACCAAATGGAATAGAATGGTTTAAACAAAATTTACCTCATAGTAATATTTATGGATTTAATAATAATGAAATAATGACTACAATATGTCCTGTAACTCCTTCAGAAACATTTACAATTGATGACAGTTTATTAACTGTTATGAAATTAAATCATTTTAAAGAATTTAATTTAGGACCAATTGATGCAAAAGTAGAAGATGGAACATTACTCCCTATCACTCGACAACAAAGAAAACGTCATGAATCTGTTTATATTGGTGAATTACCAATTAAAGTTTTAACTAAAGCAATTGAAACAGAAAATATTGACGTTAAAATTGTTAATGGAACAATTGTATGTGCTAATGGAACAATTACAGTTTCAAAAGAGCCTTCAGATGTACCTAAATTTATTGTAAGAGGAAGAATGAATAAAGCATTTTTTAAAGTAAGAAAGATAGTTGCTGAACAATTTTGCATTTTGTAATTGAAAGAATAAATTTCTTATTTTATGTTTTAATTAACAAAATATATTAGATTTTTTTTTAATTTTTTTTTAAAGAAAAATATCTAAAATGTTATTTATTTTATTCCATTAAAATGAATTCTTCAAAAATTCTTTTAGTTGGTAAAATTGGTGCTGGTAAAACAAGTTGGTGTGAAAGAGTATGTGTTTGGCTTTTTTTTTTTCTTTTCTAATCAAAAAAAATTTTAAAAGAAATTTATGTTAAAGAAAAATAAATTTAATAATAAATTATCAAGGACTATTGGTTTAAATGAATACCAAATTCATTTATTTATTGATAGAATTGAAAGAGAATTTATTATTGTTTGATTTTATTAATAAAATAACACATTTAATATTTTGATAATAACAATAATAATAATTTAATGATAGATTGATAGTACTGGATTTCAAGAACATTTTAATTGTATAGAATTTATATGTAAAACTTGTGACTTTATTATTATCTTTATTGACATTAGTATAGAATTAAATCAATCTGAAATAGAAGAGTTTATTGATAAAATTGAAAGAAATAAAAGAATAATACCTTTTCCATCAAAAATTATTGTTGTTGGAACTAAATTAGATATTAAAAAAATTAGAATGAAAAAAATAGATGAATTAGAATATATTATTAATTCTCGTTATCCTTATATCGAAATCTCTTCAAAACTTAACCAAAATTGTTTTGATATTTTCTATTTAATTTCATATATTGAAAGTACTCAATTACAAAAGAAACAAACTTTTTGTTCTTTAGTTTAATTCAATTATTTAAATGTTTTATTGATTTTTATTATTTTGCATTTTCTTTTTTAAAAAAAAAAGAAATTTAGAATAGTTTATTCAACTAATCATTAATCTTTTATTCTTTCCTTTCCTCTTTTTTTTTATAAAAAATAAAGTAAAATTACATCAATAATTAATTATATGAATCCATAGTAAAATATCAACAAAAACATTAAAACAAATTCCATTTATAGTCAAAAATCTAAAATTACTGTTACAAATTAAATTGCTATGCAAAATATAATAATCTTCTCTTTAAAAAAGTCTAATATATTAGAATAATTCTATTCTATAACTTAATCATTAGAAATACACAATAATTAACCAAAAGGTATTGAACAATTATAATACTACTTCTTAAAATCATAATTTAATTATTGTTTTATGTTCCAGTTAATATTTTATTTTTTGTTATTGGATTAAGATTTTTTGTTTGTGTTTTATTTAATAGTTCTTAATACAAAATCTTTTTGTTCTAATAATAGAAATTCGTACTTAAAAATAAGATAAATGAAATAAATATAGAACAACACAAATTTTGACAATTACTTTTTTAAAAAAAAGAATCTTCCTTTAGATCTTAATTCTAAAAATAGAAATGATCTTTGATTTAAATGAGCGGATTTGCAAATTTTTTGATTTTCGGGATTGAATTATTTGGAAAATTCGAAAGGGAGAGAGAAAAAGCCCAAAAACAGACAGAAA